GCTTTCCATCCTCTCGATCCGTATAGAATGACATCGTCACTCAATGTACACAGAGCTTCACCGGCGACATCAAGCTTTTTCACGAAATCCGACACAAGCACAATGCGCCTCTTTACTGTTTCCTACTGGGGACACCGTCAGCTTTCTATCCAATCAGTCCCATCGAAACGTGTTTTTCAGATCCGCATCTATCTGACGCACTTTAGCTTCTTCGCGAGTCTCGATAACATTTGGCATTCGCGAGAATGGGGTTTAGGAAGGCGAACACGGATTAGTTGTGATTTGCATTTGCCGATATAGCGACCAATCACTATAAGTAAGACATTGGTTTTAGCCCATATAGGAAGTAACAACAAACTAACGCTTCTCGATAAAAAGCGGGATTCAAAATGGATGCTTGCAAACGTTACTTGTAAACATTACGAGCCCCGAATCTGCCGAAGACAAGTCCGCCCCCCTCCCCCAGAAATTTTTTTGCGGATTTGAAACAATATAAAATAGGTCCATTTTGACTGGAAAAAAGCGGAATTCCGCCAAAACGCGGAAAAATCTCATCCGTGAATATGAAATTAGTTTTTTCTTTACTTCACTTTGTAACAAGCAAAGTGAAAGTGTGAGTAAATCCGCTTCGAGAGGAGTCTATATACGAGGGGTGGCCAACCAGTCAGAGGCTAAGAGCCGATTTTTGAGTGTGTTACTGCAAAGAGCCACATCAAACACATGGGCACACATGAACATACATAAGTCAGTCATAACAGCCTCCATGACAACGAATAAACTATACAGTCATACCTCGGTTTTCGAGCATAATCCGTTCCAGAAGGCTGTTCGAAAACCGATTTGTTAGAAATCCGAAACCATGTTTCCCATTATAATCAATGTAAATATTAGTCCGTTCCAAGTCTCGAAAACAACTTTTTTAAAGCATTTTTTTACTATTTTACACCATAAACTGTATGTACATGTAATAAGAGAGCAGGTAGTATATAAAATACTGTACAAAAAAACTGTACAAACATTTCGTATGTGTTATTTTTACCAATTTTAACAAACCTTAACATTGTAACATAAAAATTGAAGTAACATGTCTCTCATCGTGACAATTGTAGATTACATTCTTTTACACCTTGAACTAATAAACCCGAAAGTAACGGCTCTAATTATGGACTCTCTCTCTGCAACCCTTATGCTACGTACATTTTATCAAATCGCCATACAATTGTCTTGCTTTGCCACAAATTGCATCTTGGCTAACACTGTCCCCTGTTAGCTGTTTCTCGTTTATGAAAATAAGCAAACGTTTCTCCACTTCCTCTGATACCTGTGGCCTTTGTTTGCGAAACACACGAGATCCTTTAGCCACACCACTTACTATAATTATCCATGTGCTGCAGTCGATGTGAATAAGTTTATATAACGCAACATACAATTTTACAAAAATTGTAAAAGTATTATTCCTGAATATTTATTTTACTTTCAACCACTCGACATGTTCAGTGGCATCAGTGCTATACATACACATATAGTTCTTATTTTTTTCTTTGTATTTTTGCCCTCTATGGACAATAAAAGTGATATTGTGCTATGACCAAAACATAAATATAAATCTATATAAATAAAACATGAATTGGAATATTTCATATTACACAATTTTTATGCTTTGTCTTTGATGCAAAGATGATAATACGCAAAAATCTACAAAAATTGTAGAAATTGTAACACATGGGTTACGATGGTCTTTCTTTTTTAGGATGCTGATTATCGATTTTGGCATGCCGAACTCCTGAGCCAACACAGACACCTGATTCATATTTCGCTATCAAATCTTTCTTAAATTCAAGAGTTTTGCCCACTACTCTCCTCTTTTCTTCACCACCTTTATGACTTCCACTTGCTTTCTTTGGAGCCATGATTAGGGGCTAATACACAATGCAGCAATAACCGTGCGTAAATCTCAACAAACATGTCTGCTCACAATGAACAATACATGTTTGGCTTCTTCAAAAATGATGAAAAAAAAAGACAAAACAAGTCTTTATTATAAATGTAATCATTATTCTAGCTAAATTCCATAGCCACAAATCTAAATGTAGCCATTCAAAACCTCTTTTCCTAATTTTTGAAGCAGAAATTAAGCAATACCTGATTTATATTATGGATTACAAAAACAAGAAACGGTTAAGACTCTGGCTAATTGGTCTTTATTTGGAATTTTTGCCTAAAATCACCTGGCTCTTCTTTTTGTTTAACTCTATGTAATCTGTGCATGTATTAATAACTTGTTCATTCTGTTTACTGTGAATTGTTACTTGATTTATTCAACAAAGATTTAAAAAAAACAAACAAACAATGAACACCACAAGAGGAAGCGTCACTTCCTCGTCAACATGAGGAAGCATCACTTCCTCATGTAAGGAAGGCGAGAGGAGTCGAGTGGCATATTCGGATTTGCTCAGTTTGGCTGAAAACCGGAAGCCGAGAGTAGTCGAGTGGCGTATTCGGGTTTGCTTAGTTTGGACGAAAACCGATTTGGTCGAGAACAGAGATGTCCGAAAATCGAGGTATGACTGTACTTCTTACAAACATTGTTCTCACATGTTGTTTTCTATGTGGATACAAGTCTGCAGTGCAGGCAGGCCAGTCCATTACTACGAATCTACACTGTTGTATTATGTGCGTAATGTGGTTTCGCATTGTCTTGCTGAGATAAGCAGGGACGTCCATAAAAACTATGTTGCTTGGATGGTAGCATATGTTTCTCCTAAATCTGTATGTGCCTCTCGGCATGAATGGTGCCTTTGCTGATAAGTTATTCATGCAAGAGGAACAGGGGCGGCCCGTTGGTCCAGTGATTAGCGCGTCGACCTCACAGTGCAGAGGTAGTAGTTCAATTCCAGCTCCGGCTTCCCTGTGTGGAGTTTGCATGTTCTCCCCGTGCTTGGGTTTTCTCCAGTTTCCTCCCACATTTTCCAAAAACATCCGTGGCAATTTAATGGAACACTCTAAATCAGTGGTCCCCAAAATATGGCCTGCTGGCTGGATCCGGCCCGCCTCTGCATTTGGTCTGGCCCCCCTGAACAATACCAGAGTATTTTGATTTATTTTTCATCAATGTGGATTTGTATTTGATAATAAAGTTGGGCGTTAGCAATAAATAGTTCTGAACTATTTTGATTAACTATTAATGAGTAACTATTTCATAAACACAATATACATACATGGCAATATGGATGCAAAATGCCATCATGAAAAATGCACCCGTGGTCCGTAACATACACCTCCCCATACCATCACCCCAACCTCAATCCACAATATTGGCATCTGAAAACCATCACCTCCACTGCCATCTGCATGCACTGTACAATGAAAACCAAGATGAGAAAACTTCCCCAAAGTGCCAGACATCATTGAATGAGATTTATAATGATGACTGAAGCCAGGTCTCGGTCCCACTGAGGAGGACACGCATTAGCTGAGATGACTTCTAATGGTTTGTGCAGAAATGTTTTCGTTATTCACACCGATTGTTGCAGGAACTGTCCAGGTGGCTGGTCTCAGGCAATCTTGGAGATGTCGGGTGAATGTCCTGCCAAATTCTCTGAAATGCTGTTGGCGAAGACTTACGGAAGATAAATACGTACTTAATTTACAGGCAACGGCTCTGGTGGGCATTCCTTCAGTCAGCATGCCAATTACACACGCCCTCAAAATCTATGACATCTGTGGCATTGTGCTCTGTGAGGTGGATGGATTCCCCAGCAAAGGAGAAGTGCTCACTAACAGATTTCAACAGAAGTTGAGGAATATTTGAGAGAAATAGGCATTTTCTGTGCACAGGAAATATCTTAGATTTATTATTGCAGTTCATGAAAAAAATGGCAGTGGAAACAAAAATGCTGTGTTTATATTTATATCGCAAACACTCATAACATACATGTAGAACGTGTGGGCTTTGTCGCTCTCTCAACCTGAACATCATTCATTCTGTGTGTCATGTGTTTCAGGTGCCTGGTTTTGGGTGGTACTTAGTCGTTAGACGGACTTCCAAGAAAGTGAAAAATGCAAGTAATTACGCAGTTAGGAAATCCTGTAGAGCAGTGGTCCCCAAACTACGGCCCGCGGGCTGGATCCGGCCCACCTCCACATCTGGTCCCGGCCCCCCTGAACAACACCAGAGTATTTTGATTTATTTTTCATCTATGTGTATTTGTATTTGACCGTAAAGTTGGACTTTTGCAATAAAATGTTCCGTAGTTCTAAACTATTTTCATTTTTCACTATTAGTTAGTAACTATTTCATAAACACGTATAACATGGCATTTGTTTCATCCTTCTGCGGTCTGAACACTAATCTGGAACCCCTAGAAAAAAAAAATCCTAAACCCGCCCCTCTCGAAGAGAACGGGATCATGGTGAGAAGGTTAGGTGAGAGAAAAATAGATGCAGAATTCAGGGTATTTAACCCAAAGTGGACAAACGATTATTTTTTTTGTTCAACGCAAAGAAAAGGCTGTCTCATCTATCAAGAGGCGGTGGCGGTATTCAAAGAATTCAATCTGCGCAGACACTATGAATCCTGTCACAACGACAAATACGAGAGCCTGCAAGGACAAATGCGAGCAAACTGTCAAAACTAAAAAGTGGAATGTTAGCTCAGCAAAATACATTTGTACACCAAGCTCAGCTGGACCAGTCGTCTGTCCGAGCTAGCTTCGTGTTGCTCAACTGATAGCAAGCAGCGGTAAACCTTTTACTGATGGAGAGTTTGTCAAGAAATGCATGAATGCCGTCGCGGAGGAGGTGTGTCCCGAGAAGAAAGACATCTTCAATAGCGTGAGTCTATCAGCGAGTACAATCACCAAACGTATTGAAGAAATCGCGGTAATGTATATGCTCAGCTGCAGCAGAAGACGAAAGAATTATTTTCATTAGCACTGGATGAGATCACGGACGTGCAGGACACAGCACAACTGCTAATGTTTATTCATGGACTTAGCGCAAACTTTGACATGTGCGAGGAGCTGGCAGCCCTCCAAAGTCTCAAAGGGACTACGATGGGGGGAGGATATTTTCGGCAGAGTGCACCAAACTATGGAAGAGTTAGACCTGGACTGGTCAAAGCTGGCCAGCAACACAACTGACGAGGCTCCGTGTATGGTGGGCGCATCTCGGGGAGTTTAACCAACGCATGAACCGGGAGACGGAAGAACGGGATTTCAAATTCACTGCCTAATACACCAGCAAGCACTGTGCTGCAAAGTATTGACTTGGGATTCTGTCATGAAGGTTGTGGTGTCATGCATAAACTTCATCAGAGCAAAGTTGATTATTGTTTATTTCATAAATGGGGTAATTTATTTCCTTGCTTTTTGTCTGTGAAGAACCTGTGGAGGGTTATTTAGTTATTAGTTATTTCATTAATGGTCGTATTATGTATTTCCTGACTTTTGTTCTGTGAAAAATCCAGAAAAGGATATTTGATTTTGTGTGGGTTTCTGGAAAACAATAAATTTTTACATTTAGGTACTCTTGCAGTCACACTTTTTCTGTTACAAACTGACCCTGGCCACCCCATCACAGAAGTGAAAGGTTATGCGGCCCTCACAGGAAAAAATTTGGGGACCACTGCTCTAAATTGTCCCACGGTGTGAGTGTGAGCGTGGATGTTTTGTTCGTCTCTGTGTGCCCTGCGATTGTCTGGCAACCGTTTCAGGGTGTCCCCCGCCTACTGCCCGAAGATGGCAGGGATCGGCTCTAGCACCCCCCGCAACGCTTGTGAGGATAAGCGGATTGGAAAATGGATGGATGCAAGAGGAACAAGCACAGCCCCAAACCATCACAGATGCTGGCTTTTAAACTTTGCCTCCATAATAGACCAGAAGGTTTTTTTGATCTTTGGCCCAGAAGACACGACGTCCACAATTTCCCAAAACAATTGTGGATTCGTCAGACCACACAAGTCTTTTCCACTTGGCATCAGTCCGAGCGGCATTTATGCAGGTTGTTGATAAATGTGTTTTGCTTTGCATGGTAGAGTTTTAAGTTGCACTTAAGCATGTAGTGCCAAACTGTATCAACTGACTGGTTTTCTGAAGTGTTCCTGAGCCCATGCAGTGATATCCTTCACACATTGATGTTAGTTTTTGATGCAGTAATGCCTGGAGGATCAAAGGTTGCTTGACAGTGATTTCTCCAACTTCTCCTCGCGTTTTGATGATATTATGGACCGTAGATGATGAACTCGCTAAATTCCTGACAATTGTTCAACTACAGTGGTACCTCTACTTATGAAATTAATTGGTTCTGGAAGAAATTTCTTAACTAGAAAATGTTGTAAGTAGAGACGCATTTTCCATGCAAATGCCCTAATTCGTTTCAAGCCCCCTCAAAATTCAGACATAAATGTTTCCTAAAGCATAACAGTGCATCAAAATAAGAAACAAAAACATGTTTCAATTAGATTATTGCAAAATCAGAGATGAAAGTGGACTTTTCTGAAAATTCCGGCACACGTGTACCCTTTGTGGCTTCCGTTCGGGCTGAAATTTTGAAATCTCCAAGATATGGCGAGGCCATGAGAATGCGAGGCGAGGGTATTACTGTTGTGGCGACGCCACTCAAGCTAAGCGAGCCTCAGCAGTAGATAGTCTACTGCTCTCTGCTGTGCGTGCTCCAGCGCGAACATGTACGCAAGTGTGGCTTTTGATTTCAACCAATCAGCGTCGAGGCAAATGACGTCACACACGACAACAGCTAAGCTAAGTTAGCCGAGACGACACTCGAAGTCGGACGGACACGATTTTCTGCCAATCTGTGTTTTTCCCTTTTTGGCCAAATATATTTTTTACTACAACTGTCTTGTCGACTGCATCTTTTATTCGTTCCACTGGGGTTTAGCAGGTGTGTTTATAAAGAGACGAAAATTGTTTGGGGTCTATCCCCCACATTCTAGTTGAGATGGTATAACCCAAGAGGCAAAATGACGCTTGCTACTGTTGTTGCAAGTTGCCATTCGTTCTACGAAACCATTAGTCAAACGCCATCATGTCTTCTGTCGTTATTACACAAGAAAAAATCTCTTTACTGTTACTAGTGTTAGTGCCTCAATATGGCTACGCTCGTGAAAGCAATACAACGAACTCAAACGCGTCTTCGTTCAATGTTGTCAACTAATATCCGGATTAATTTTATGCAAATTTTCCTCAATTCTCCGGAGAAATTTTCATAAAAATTTGAGAACCCCGGAATTCCGGGAAAATCCGGAGGACTTTCATCTCTGCAAAATAAATGAGAGATGTGCAGAATGTAAAAAAAACAAAGAATATAGTCATTTAACTTTTAACTGCTGCCTCATGGTTTTTGCCCTCTTAAGTTCATGTTCTCTCTCAGAAGTGTTTTTTTTTCCTGGCGTTTTGTAAAGAACTGATCCAAGGACGTTTGCTTTTGTGAATCTGTTTTGGCTTTTAACAATCCTTCGAAAATGTCCAAGGCAAACATCAGCATAGTGAGCTATCGCCCGACACTTTCTTCTGGGTGATTCACATTTTCGTAAAACTATCGGAACACCTCATGGCCCTCGACACATATCTATCTCTATCTACACACAAATACACATTCGGTCGAAGTCCGTCTTAGCCAAGGGGATGCCAGGATGATGCTCGGTAATAGTCAGTGGGAGAGCCGCAATAAGTATGTTGCATTCAGGAAACTTGGAGCCACGTGTAGCAGGCCATACTTTTATTTTTGTCTTTCGTGTCTTGAAATTTCTTTCGTAATAAGAGGCAATATTTTCCCGTGAAGGTGTTTCATAACTTGAAAAATTCGATTGAAGAGACATTCATAAGCAGAGGTCCCACTGTATTTTCTCATGCAACTCTTACAAAAAGGTGCACCTCGATCGACCTTTGCTTGTGAATGACTGAGCAATTCAGGGAACCTCCTTTGTTACCCACTTGTTTCCATTAGCTTGTTCACCTGTGGGATGTTCCAAGCAGGTGTTTGATGAGCATTCCTCAATTTTCATTGTCATTTTGCCACCTCTCCCAGCTTTTTTGGAGTGTGTTGGAGCCATAAAAATGAATTTAAAGTTAATTATTTAATAAAAACACTAACATTTATCAGTTTGAAGAGTAAATATCTTGTCTTTGTAGTGTATTAGTTTAATTCAACATAGGTTGATTTGCAAATCATTGTATTTTCATTATATTCTGTTTTTATTTATGTTCAGCACAACGTCCCAACTTCATTGGAAGTGGGTTTATTAAAAAAAGAAGGAAAGAAAAGGCGATACTATCATTTATCATGATTGTTTCTCTGGAGGCGGCCCGGTGATCCAGTGGTTAGCGCGGTGGTGGGCAAACTACGGCCCGCAGGCCGGATCCGGCCCGTTGGTCTTTTTAATCCGGCCCGCCGAAGGTTGGTACAGTACATATTTAAGTTTCGATGTAAATGATTGTGGTCATTTCATTTGGACTTGTAATGACAGGCATTTCAACAACAGGTGGCGCAGAAGTTGCAGAGCACAGGGAGGGAGGGGGAGACGATACGGAAGCCCGCAGTAGAGCTAACGCAAGTAACTCCCGCTCGATGCGACGGAATAAGTGTGTCCGCGCTGCTATTTTCTATCATTGGATCCAAAACGGCGACATGCAAGTGACTCTTTTTTGCAGTGAGTTTAACTGAAATTGCGAACATTTTTACGTCCTGTAGATCATGGCATCCAAACGAAGAGGAACAGTTATGGCCACGGAAGAGAAACTGAAGTGTATCTGATTCAACGAAGCGGGTTACAAAGTACGAAACATTCAGGAGATGCTTCGAGTCTGAAAGACTCAAATCTACGAGACTTTGAAAAACCAGAAAGCGATTTTTGCTAAGTCCGATTCTGGCTGTTTCCATGCTCAGAGTGAATTGCTTGCGGCTCGACGGGCAGTCGAGTAAATAAACGTTTCCTGGAATGGTTTGACTGTTATCGTGCAAAAAACTTTCCGCAAACTGGACCGAGTTCTATAGCGCTATGGGCATCAAAGACTTTGGCTGGGTTCAAAAGTTCGTTGCACGACATCAGCTGAGCAACGCTGTCTTGTATGGTGATCGTGGGGAAGTCAAGTTCGAGACAGTGAGTGAGTGGAAAGAATGGACTGGTATGGACTGTCAACATACATAGTTTTTTTATATGTACCGTATCTTGTGCTGCCCTGGCCCACCTGTCAAATTTAGAAACCAATGTGGCCCCCGAGCCAAAAAGCTTGCCCACCCCTGGGTTAGCGCGTCGACCTCACAGTGCAGAGGTACTGGGTTCAATTCCAGCTCCGGCCTCCCTGTGTGGAGTTTGCATGTTCTCCCCAGGCATGCGTGGGTTTTCTCCGGGTACTCCAGTTTCCTCCCACATTCCAAAAACATGCATGGCAGGCTGATTGAAGACTCTAAATTGTCCCTAGGTGTCAGTGTGATCGTGAATGGTTGTTCGTCTCTGGGTGCCCTGCGATTGGCTGGCAACCGGTTCAAGGTGTCCCCCGCCTACTGCCCGAAGACGGCTGTGATAGGCGCCAGCACCCCCCGCGACCCTTGTGAAGATAAAGCGGAACAGAAAATGGATGGATAGGTGTTTCTCTGGAAAAATTCGTTATCGTGATTGGCCTACCAATAAATGATGTAAATACAGTACATTGACGAGAATTTGGGCGCTGTTCGGCGCTCTATAAGCTTTTTTAAGCAACTTTATCGAGGTGTTCTAACTGCTTGTGCACATAATTTAAGTAAAATCCATCTGACCTCCTTGGCATCCATGACAGTGCCGACTCCGACAGTCAAAGCCATGGTGGGAACTTTGGAGAGGTCATTGCCAAAGAACCGAGCATTTGCCACAATGGTGTCCTTGGCCAGTGTCTTCACTCTGGTTCGAGAGACAAGGCTGGAACCTGGCTCATTAAATGCTATGTGGCCATCAGGACCAATACCTACAACATGGGAAGAACAAGGAGAAGCACAAAGCCTGAGAAGATCTGTGTTTCAACAGAGACAAAGAATTAAAAAATTAGAAACCTTCATAAGGTGTCTGACCTCCAACAAACAAGTGGATTCCTCCAGCCTCAGCAATCTTTCGTTCATAGGACTTGCACTCTGCTTCCAAGTCCTCTGCGTTTCCATCCAGGATATGAGCATTGGCGGGATCAATGTCAATGTACTTGAAAAAGTTGTTCCACATGTAGGAGTGGTAGCTCTCAGGATGGGCACGGGGTAGACCTGGACAACAAGACAGCAAATGTCACAATGGGAAAAACTTGTGTTTCCGTCGAAAAACTGTTCCCAAGTAAGAGTACTGTACTTTAAAATACGACAAAAGTAAAAATTAGCTCATCCATCCAATCATTTTCTGATCTGCTTATCCTCACAAGGATCGCGGGGCGTGCCGGAGCCTATCCCAGCAGTCTTCGGGCAGTAGGCGGGGGCAACCCTGAACTTGTTGCCAGCCAATCGCAGGGCATACAGAGACGAACAACCAGCCGCGCTCACACTCACACCTAGAGACAATTGAGAGTGCTCAATCAGCCTGCCATGCCTGTCTTTGGAATGTGAGAGGAAACCGAAGTACCCGGAGAAAATCCACATGCATACTCCACACAGGGAGCTGCAATTGAACCTGGTACCTCTGAATTATGAGGGAGGACACACACACACAGACACAGAGAGAGAGAGAGAGAGAGAGAGAGAGAGAGAGAGAGAGAGAGAGAGAGAGAGAGAGAGAGAGAGAGAGAGAGAGAGAGACGCACACACACTACCACCAAACGGTGGTGTTTTCTAGAATTAACCTTAAAAGTATGCAAATTTAGATAAATCGTTTTGGGAGTGAATTTCCACAGGTTGGGTGCTCAGCATACATAAACACACATTTATACACTGCATTGCTACACTGATCTACTGAGCCCCTAAGGAGATATGAAAGAAAAAACTAAATAAAAGGTAAAAAATAAATAAAACATTTGCAAACCCTTAAAAAAACGTGTGATATGAAAAACTATAACTCACGTCAAACAAAAAAGCAAAACAAAAACATAAGTCAACCCTTTTTTCTCTTCCATGTCCTTCTCGGGCAGGGGTCGGTAACCCAAAATGTTGAAAGAGCCATATAGGATAAAGAAAAAAAAAACATAAAACAAATATGTCTGGAGCCGCAAAAAAATAAAAGCTTTCAATAATACTTAGAATGAAGACAACACATGCTGTATGTATGTAGGAGACTGGACTGTCTCAGAATTGTTTATGTTATTCATTATTTTGTTGTGTGGTCACAAACGCCCCCATAGAATTTATTTTGATTTCCTCGCTTGATTTTCTGTTTAGTGCATTATTTTCACTTTTCTTACTGTCATTGAAATGATCATTAATTTCCGTTTTTCAAAGGCGGTCTTTGAATGCCTCTGGAGTCGAACGAGAGGAGAGAAGGCACGGAGTCGGACGCAGATGTGTCTGTGTTTGTTGAGACTGTTAAAAGCATAAATAAAGTGTACGTTTTTAAAAAAACAACAACACCACACCTCTCTTTTTTTCGGAGCTGCAGCATGTATCAATATCTATATGAGCTATGTTAGCCTACTATCAAAATGACTAAGTTTGCTACAATTACACGATGAGCCTTCATGATTTTTTTTTTTTTCGTGCAGTGCATTCTGTAGAGCAGGGGTGCCCAAACTTTTTTGACTGAAGATCTATTTTTCGTTCAACCAACCTACTGCAATCGACCCGCGCAGACACAACACACTTACAGAGGCATGCCTACCTACCTTCGTCGAGATCTGACACGGAGACATGGGACGCACTTTTGCAGCGTTTTTGACTATCGTAGCTCACGTGTACCGTTTTAAAAATACTTTTCACGGCCCTCGAGGTTCTCTTTGCCAGTACCCTTGTTGAATTGTACATGAAAAGCCGTTTTTTGTTGTTGTTGTTTTTTGTTTTCTTACAACAGTCGCCTGACGGACATCCCACCCTGCTAATAGAAACGTGTGTCGCAGGCTATGACGCAAATCTTCGTTGACAGAAACGTTGAATTGTAATGTTTATTCTACACATTTTTACAGCATTGGGAAATGTTAAGAATGTATATGTCATGTTATTACTCCTACAGAAACCATATTTAAAACAAAAAAATAATTTTGCCTCCTACATCTGTTTCCATTTTTAAACATTTTTTTAACAAAGCTCCAGGAAGCCACTAGATGGTGCTAAAGAGCCGCATGCAGCTCTGGAGCCGCGTGTTGCCGACCCCTGTTCTCGGGGCTCTGTAATCAACAGCCTGTGACTCACCAACATATTCATCCATGTTGAATGTTTTCACAAATTTGAAAGATAGCTCTCCACATCTGTAATATTCAATTAACTTCTGGTAACAGCCATATGGAGTGCTCCCTACAAGAAAAACAGACATCAAGTTGCATGTATCCCTCAAGGAAAAATTCAACTCACACTCCAGCTGGGTTTCCATTGCCCTCAAAAATGAGCAAAATCCAAACCGATGATGGAAAAACAGCAATTTCAAAAAGCCTCTCAAATATCCCAAAATATGTTTATAGTCTCAATTGATGGGTTTTGGTTGGATGGAGGACCGGCGGGAGGTGGAGGGAAGGGGGAATTCCTGGGCTACCCCCACATGCCCGGAGGCAAGGTACCTGCGAAGGGTAAATCCTCCACGCAGGCCCCACTCGTTAACTCGCAATGGTTTCACGTCCTATCGCAAGTCTCACAAGAACATTTTACGAGATTTTACGAGGATTGCGAGATTTCACGAGAAGGGACGTTATGAGATTTAAGCTTCAGAAGCCACTCTTCAGTGGAAACAGCAACAAGTTGAGAAGTTGTAGAAATGTCACCTATATTTTGCGAAAACAAAACTGTCATGGAAACCCAGCTAGTGATGATTACAGCATGCTTGTGTTAGACACCGCACAGAACACCACATCACAGATGGAGGCATGTGTGGAGAGGTCACTTGCTCAAGAGCACCTGAACAATAGTTTGGAAGCAGACCAGCATGCTGGAGAGATGCAAGTCTGCTACAAGCAGGCAACAATATTCACATTTTACCCGCAAGGAGACTTCATGACCTTAAGGTTCCAAAGACCAAGCATCCATCCATCCATTTTCAACACCGCTTATCCTGAGGAGGGTCTCGGGAATTGCTGGAGCCTATCCCAGCTGACTCTGGGCGAAAGGCGGAAAAACCCCTGAACTGGTCGCCACCCAGTCACAGGGCACACGTAGAGACAAACACCCACACACACCCACAATCGCACGTCACTGAGTGGAAACCAATCCCACGCTGCCCGCAAATAAGTCAGGTGAGTGTACCACGACACCATCAGCGACTGCATGAACACAAACCTTCCAGCGCAAAAACACCTACCTGTAGGAAGACCCAGGGTAAAGAAATTGTTGGCGGAGGGTTTAAACTGGATTATTCGGTTCCGAATATATTTGGCTGCCCACTCACTGGCCAGGTTATAATCGTCCAGAATCACCAACCTCATCGTGTCCTCTGTACCAAATAAACATGCACGTTGCGTTTAGTGCAGAGAATGTTGAAATAATATAACCATTCAAGTAACTCTGAACGCTCAAACAAACGTTTGGTTGAAGTGGTTCGTCTCATGTTGGACTAGCAATTTAACCAATCCAAATATAGATTTTAGCTTTGTGCCGTTGCTCAAGTTAGCAAGCAACGCGACGGCACGCTCGACATAATATAAACGCTTAAAACTAGATGCGATGACTCAAGTGAGTTCCCCCAAACCTCGTCTGGCAGAATTAATTAATCATCGCTAAATGTCATGGTTTTTAACTGATAAAATATCCTACCAATCAACGAAGTGTTTTTTCTTTCGGAGAGAAATCCGGTGACACCAAAGGTGTCACGTGATCAAACTGGGACACGTGACTTGGAATCTTCGATGAGGACATTGCAGTATTTTGAAGCATTTTGAACGATGTAGGTAAAACACTTAAAGTAATATATATGTACTGAAACGGTCCGTAAAACTAAGTTTTCATAAACTGATTGATTGTAGTTTATTATTACATTTGGAGTCGTAGTTTGAATGTAAAGGATACTTCGGAAGCAAATCAGAACGTATTAATGACAGCTATTTTCGTTTGTTTTTTTACCTTTACCAAAACCGGCATCTTACTGGCAGCTCTCTTCACCTGTACCTTAACGTCAGTAGCCTAAAAATGTAATCTCCACAATTAGTAATTGCCATGACATCGAGGTGACTATTTGTCCAAAAGTGAGGATACAAAGGTTCTGCTTTCACTTTCAAGGCTGGTGTCAAGGAGGCAGACCACATTGTCACAACCATCACACATAATTCCGAATTTGACCCCAGCTCCTTCAAAACTGGGCTGTCTTCCTGTTAAATTCACAAATGTCCACATATAACTTGTTAAATAACAATCAGTTTACTCTGACGGAATGTTACCATTTGTGTACATGTGACCCCCCCGCCCTTTAACTTCAATTGCTATAATTAACAATCATCTCAAACTGCTTTAAACAACAAAGCGTGTGAGGGAAAAGTGGTTAGGATTGCACGACTGTCCATGTTTTATGTTGTGTTGTGATAATTATTTTACTTCATGTTAATGTTGTGAAAGCGCTATATAAATTAGGATGTATTGTATTGTATATGGCTTCTTGAATTGATTGAATATTTTTTGAAGCGAATCCCTGGCAAAGCATATCAAAGAGGCAGCTCAGGATTTGGTTGTCCATGGGCAACAGACTCAAAACTGTGCCTTTCATGATTACAAAAAAACATGGGTGAATCAGTAATTATACGAAATGTCAACATCGCACCTGTTTGTCATCTACAAAATAAAAAAAGAGGTTGTAATTCATAAATGGTGAATGGTCTGTTTTGTTCGCTGCAACCTCCATTAATTCATTTAAAATCCATTGTGGTGGTATCCAAGACTCTCATGATTGATCTTTTGGAAGCATTTGCATCACTTGACAGGATCTCTGGCAGAGCTCAGACAGAATGACTACCAGGTTCTCGGTTAACTCAAACCACAACTTCCCCCAGCTCGACAAAGAACTTTTCTCCCAGATTGCTGTGATTTCACAAGCAGAGTCGTCGATGTGCTATTGGAATCATTAGCTGAAGCCTCGGGTCTTTGTTTCTCTGAGGTCTTCATGATCTTCAAGATGTAAAAGCAAAAACATTAATTTTTCAATAGATTAATTTCTAATCATATTATTTTTACTTGAAGTATTTTGTGCTTAAAATTTGTGTTGATGAATAATCCTGGTCACCAAACGGTATGGTTCATTTGACAAATTAAAATGACTTTTTGTTTCATTCATTTATATTTAACTATGTGCGAATAAACAAACCCAAAATAAAATCGTGCAATTAGTGTCGTAACGAATCCAAATAGTCTGGTATCATCCATCAACTCGTGCCTTTTCCACAGGTCAAATGTTTTTCAAATAGCTGCAAAAAAATAAAAAAAATCTAATAATTGAGTTCGGAGTGTACAGTACATGCTGTGTACTAGATGGAAGCATATATAAATCCAAGACAGATCCTTCAACAAAGCAAAATATGTGGCTTTAAATTTTAATGTTGTACATACAATAAAATATGCACAAAACTCAATGTATAATGGTTATCGTTCTGGAACCATTATTTTGTCCATAACTTGGGCCCGGAGATGTCAAATGATTGTGATAAAAGATTGAAAACTGGCTGTTGGCGAGAAAGTTGGTGAAGCCTCCATCTTTACACAGCAGACCCAGTATGCCAACTGCGAAGGTGGCCAATTCACTCTCTCTTCTTGTAGTCCTCCAGGTGGGCCAGGATCCAACCAGACGGTCCCAGAATGGCCAAGGTGAACAAACCCAATCCAATGACAGTTTCCTGGGTGCCAAAAAGACATCAGTGTCAAACATGAGACGTGCTCTCATATATGTCAGCTGATATATACTTTGTATGTGTGTGTGTGTGTGTGTATATATATATATATATATTTTTTTTTTTTTTTATATAGATAGAGAGAGAGAGAGAGAGAGAGAGAGAATTTCAATGAAAAGAAGGCAAAAGTGATCGTGTTTGGTCCCAGTGGCCCTTGTACATCTCACCCTGTAGACTCGGGCCCCCTGTCTCCTTATCTGAAGTCAACAGTCTCAAACTTGGGTCTTAAACTGGACAGTGATTTTAAACTTGACCAGCAAATTGTTGTCATTGTTAAATCCAGCTTGTTTCATCTCAGGCAGCTGGCTAAAGTAAAAACTCTCCTTTCTAATGAGCACCTTGAGACAGTAATTCATGCATTTGTCACATCCCGGCTTGATTACTGTCATGCACTTTACTTTGGAGTAAGCTAATCGTCCATTAAGCACCTCCAGCTGGTCCAGAATGCTACTGCCCACCTCTTGACCGGTACTCATAAGAGGGAGCACATAACTTCTACTCTGGCATCCTTTTTAGGATCCTATTATTTGTTTTCAAATCTTTCAAATGACCTCAGGCCACCTTACCTCTCTGAGCTTATCCGCCCCTAACACCTGCCCGGCGCCTCAGGTCTGCGGACCACACATTACTAGAAGTACCAAGAACTAAGCGGAGGCTCACAGTGGATCAAGCCTTTTCCGTTGCTGCTCCCTCTCCATGGTATGACCTCCCACTGAACACTCGGCAAGCCCCCATTGCTGCCCATCTTTAAAACCCGCCTTAAAACTCACTTGTATTCTTTGGCATTTGACTCAGCATGACTCAGACTTGATCTTAGTTTTGCTGTTTGGTGCTTTCTACCGTATTTGTTACTGATTTATTGCTTTATCATTGTATATATGATAGTTGCTCCATATACAGCACTTTGTGTACAGCGATGGCTGTTTTAAAGTGCTCTATAAATACAGTTGAGTTGAGTTGAGATGTAGAACAGCAGTCCCCAACCCCCGGGCTGCGGACCGGTACCGGTCCGTGGGTCATTTTGTACGGGGGCGGTTTATTTATTTCGGAACCTGATAGATGTTCTATTCTGAAAATTCTGTTACATCCGTCTTCAGTACAGTCATACCTCGGTTTCAACCATAATCCGCTCCAGAAGGCTGTTCGAAAAGCGATTTGTTCGAAATTTATTAGCCCATGATTAGGGCCGAATACACGATGCAGAAATAACAAAAAGATTTGCGTAAATCACAACAAACATGTCTGCTCACAATGAACGTTACACGAGGAAGTGTCACTTCCTCACGTAAGGAAGCTGAGAGGAGTCGAGTGGTGTATTCGGGTTTGCTCAGTTTGGTCGAAAACCGGTTTTTGGTCGTAATCCGAGGCATAAAAATGTCGAATTTTCTGGTCAAAATCTGATTTGGTCAAGAACAAAGACGTTCGAAAACCGAGGTTTGACTCTATATCACTCTTGACGCAGGACAAGGCGCGCCTCTCGGTTACTGCTAAAATGAATCCCAGAAGCTGGTGAAATGAGTAAAAAAACAAACATCTTTGGGAAGGGGAAAAGGCCCAGGCAAGAGACAGAAGAGAAGCCTACGACTTCCAAGAAAAAGAAGGCTACATTTCATAGTCAGTATCAGGAATCCACCAAGCCCACTCTACTTAATATGTGTCGATGGTGAATCGTATTTTTCATGCACTTTTTATTTGCAGTGCATCTTATTTTGAAGGTACGTTTAAATGTTCCCATAGCGACCAGAGAGTATTGCAGCCAGGGACGACGTTACTCATGTCATGAATCGGGTTTATTATTGTGTTTCGAAAGCACCACCGTTTTCATGCAGGTCATAGCATATTATTTTGTTGTATTTATCCATCACACCTCAAAGGCCGGTCCCTGAAAATATTGTCTGAAACCGGTCGGTGGGGCAAAAAAGTTTGGGGACCGCTGATGTAGAAGATACAGTGTGTATGCTATGATGTACCATGTAGACAAGAGGTTTGTTTCTCTTGGTAATTTATTATAATCTGTTGAGAATACAGAACATTGGAAAGGGAATACATTACATGCTGTCAAAAGCAGAGAATCATACAGGAATACCCTGGTGAGTGGAATGTTAATCAGTTGATAGCATTTCACAAACAAAAAAGATAGTGTATTTCCGGTAACATGAAATTTCAGCATAGGGTCGGTAGGTCGGACAAAGTTTTTTTTTAATCTTTTTTTTTCCCCATCAAAAATTTAAACAAAATAACCATAAAACATAAAACAAGAAGACATTGAACCCGCCGCTCCGCGGCCGGCGCCGCCACCACCTATTTAGTTTTCTCCCCGCTCCGGACTCGGGGGGCCGGGGCGCGCCGCCGCCTCCGTCCTCCTCCGCCCTCGGTTTTTACTCGGCCCGTGGTGTTCATCAAATAGATCGCTGAATTTTTTCGATCCATCAATGGATGCTATTTTCTTAAAATTGCGGTGCGAGCATGCGACTGTAACAAAGAAAACGCGGTTTAAACTGTCGTCGGAGATCGCGGCCGCCGCCATGTTTCAATGTTGTTGACAGAGGACAGGGCAAACGACGCACGTGCTCAACGTGAATATCGCGAGAGTTTGCACCGATGTAAACCCTCTACACAAAAAATGTAGAGGGTTGTTTGAAAAAAATGCCGACTGTAAAGTTTTTTTTTCGACAAAGAAATTCTCAGTCGGTCAGGTTACCGGAAACACACTACTTTTTTTTCTACGTCTTATGTACGAAATGCTCTGGACAGGGCTTGGGATTCCATCATTATGCATCGCAGACCTATCTGACACTTTCGGGGCTATCCAGCCTGAATGTAAACAAAGCTGTCCAGTAAACATAGTAAACAATGTTAAGCCAGAGAGCAATATTTCGCAAAAAATGAACATGACGAATGGATGGCTTATGTACGAAAGCATGCAGCCGAAGGTACAGTAAGGTGCTAGCATACTTTTTCACTGTCCGTTTTAAAAATCTAGTTCACCTATATAAACAATAGCAATAGCGTTATCATCAATCAATGAGCATGGGAAATTGTGCTTGGTTTGACAACTCCACATGTCCAAAGAAAGTTAATTTTTCTAGACTTTTAAAACGGATGTTTCAAAAGCAAACAAACATTGATGTTTAACTCCATGTATCTTAGTCCATTTTGCAGTGTCATCCTGTGATGAGCCTGTATCAATCCTTTGGGAAACTGCACATAACGTGCTACTGACTTGTAATTTTTAAATCTGAGCCCAAGTGCAGGCACCCACACAACACACTAGGTGGGTCAAAATGTCTATCGTACACAATGGCCGTAGCAGGTCCAGATCCCTGCTCCACCCAAGATGTGCACAATTTAATCAGAATGGATTTTACCGCCATTAGCCACAAAGGGTACATTCCCAAATAGATTTTTTAATGGGCAATGGTGCGACAAGAAACAAAGATTGTCCTCCTGATTTTTTTTTAATGATCATTATTTTTTAAAATACTAGTCCAACCCGTTTTTAAATGTTGATTTTTGATAGACATCGGGCTATTTTTCCCCCGAAGTTCATCCCCTTCAATTTCTTGTGTTTTAATATGCTGTGTTTTAATATGCTGTCTTTCACGACGCGACTACAAAATATTTGCGATGCCTGGAACCAATGTTTTGTGTTTCCGCATTGACTTTTCGGGTATGTTTTTTTTTCTCCTTACTACGGGCCAAATTAAATTATGAACTATAGTTTTATGTCACGATTGCAAAGTGGAGCTGGGGTAGCTTGGAAACTGGTAATTGTGGCACCTGTGATCCCAAAAAGCAATATTAAAATGTTCTTTACCTTAAAGATAGTACAGTGTTGAAACATTATGTTTGGCAAACTCAATGGTTATTTATCACTGTATCAGGCAATTATCCTTAAGCTGTCAATCGATGGAATAATTTATGGCAGGGATGCCCATCACGTCGATCACGATCAAGTGGGAGCTTGCGGGTCAACCCAAGGGGGCTTGGGGGGGGGGGGGGGGTGAACTGTGCATGTTAGTAATATATTTTTTGTGTTAATGCGCACTGCACGCTAATCGTCCTATCAGTCTCACTTGGCCAAAAAGTTTTATTTTTTTTTTTTTTAAATCAAATAAAACAAAGCAGGTGAATGTATGTACCAGCATAGAGGGACTGTCCTCCGAGACAAGTTTCTCCTACGGGAGACCTAATAAAAAGTCAAATCAAATGAAATCAAGGTCACCTTTAACTTAAGAGTGGTGGGTGACATGTGTCACCAGAAGTTGTTAGCGCTCAGCAGTCTGCAATTGCAGCTTGCGATCAGAGCTGTTGCGAAATAGCTATTATTATTATTATTGTTATTATTATCAGTCAAAGTTCGTTTTGTGTACAATTCACCAATGGCAATCTGGAGGGCCGAGAGAAGCATTTTAAAATGGGAGACATGAGCTACGAAAGAGATGTTCATGCATTTATCACGCTGCACCGCATGCCTCTGCATCAGGTCTCCCGCTAAGGTAGGCAGTGATTTCCTCTTAACAAACTCCTATGTCTACTTTATTTTTCTATTTCGTACAGTTTAGGGGCCGTTAGGGCTGTTGCTCATCATGGCATGTGTGTGCGTGGTAACAGGTCGATCAAAAAGTAGATCTTCGATGCAAAAAGTTTGGGCACTCCTGGTTTATAGGATAATTGATTCCAAAAAGATTTGTTTGTGACGGCTCTAATGGAGATGTTTGCTCAAAAATGCTGCATTTTCACCAGTTTTAAAGAGTCGTAACTTTCTCAGTATTCTTTAAACATAGTAATATTCCGTAAAATGATGGTTATATCAATGGAGTCGTCTACAAAATTTTGTCTAGTAATGTCAGTCTTCTGGAAAACAATTAATGCTTGAAATGGAACACAGTTTATGTTTACAAAAATTGACGTTAATTACTCGAGAGAGGCCCCCCACTTTCCACAATTCAACTCGATTCCCTAAGTATTTTTTCAGCCCTTAAGTTCGATTTCATTCCTTTCATTCTGGATGTTACTACAATATACACATAGCATAGGAGTGTGCCAAAAACTATTCATTTATTTACGGGTAAGATTTGCTGGGTGCTGTTATTTATCGATTTATATTTTATCAGGAAGCGCAAAGCCAGAATTGTAAGTATACCAGCGTAACGGCCCTTGAGCAATATGCCTGAGCAGAATCTAACGATGAGGATGGAATAAACATGACCGATACATTTAAAACAGATTATTGATCAACCGCCAATTGTGACCTCGTCGGTCAAGGACAGCTGCATGCTAGCACAGAATGTCATGCTAGTAGTTCACTTACCATAGCGCCTATCTTTTCCTTGGCAGGTCGAGTGTAGACATTTGCCCTCTGACAAACGGTGTGTCCCCGCAGTGCGGGTGCGGCACGGAAAGCGATGGTTCGCAGAAGCCCAGACATCTTTGTCTTCTCGAATGACGCACGCGTCTTCTGGTGTGCAATGGAGCTGTTGGCTGTGGTCTTGAATCGGCTCACTGCTGAGGTTACTTCCCTTCTTTGACAGCGCACCGATACTCCAAATGACTTCTTCAGCGCCGTCTACTGTCCGGGAGGACGATGGAAGTCAGCTGAACGAAGCACAATTGGGTATGCTTTGAGTGTGGATACCTAACTGGGACCTCGATAAGTGAAAGCTCAATGAGTGGAAGAATCTTTCGGCTTTTAGTTTTCAAAATAAAGTGACCATCTTTTAAACATTAATATCGGTCTTTATTTATGTAGCGCTTTCATAACAGTCGCAATTGGAACAAAGCCCTTTACAGAACTTTTAACATAAAACAATAATACAAAAGAACACATTACATAAAACGTTGACAATAAGATAATCAGATGAAGGAGAGGCGATTCAGTCTTCTTTCGACAGTGGATCACAGACGTCATAATGACAGTGTTCATGACGTTACATACGTCTCTAACAAGATAAGTTTGAAAGTAAACACGAAAGCCGAAATATGGTTAAATAAATATAAATGTATATTTAAAGGTATGAATGGTTTCAAGGAACAGCAAGAAATAAGTTGGAGGAAGGAATAAATTAGCTTGTGTTAACTTTGTAATGTAGGCCAAAGGGAGGTTATAATAATAACCTTGGGCTTTTCATATGTCTGTTTTTATTGTAAGTGGTAATGTTATGTTTCATGTATTTTTAGTATGCTCAGCAGAATTCGACTAGTCTGGCAAGGCCAATTTAACACAATTGAACCCTATGTGTTTTTCTAGATGTACAGTACTGTATTTCTGACCAGTTTGACTGTGCCTAAAAGGTCTCGCTAAGGCAATGTTTCTCAAATAGTGGGGCACGCCGACCTGGGGGGTGGGCGAGAGGCTCCATCAAGGAGGGTGAGTTTGACCTCGGAGAACATGCTTTTTTATTTTTTTAATTTAGATTTTTTTTTTTTTACTGTCCTCGAATAAAGTGCAGTTGCACCTCCACGACGTTAGGGGACAGTGGCGCTCTCATTGGCAGAGTTTGCGGGGGGGATATGACGAGGCGTATGTAGCGCTTGGCTTCACTGTGACTACGGTGGCAGACACGGTGTAAGATCGGTGTGCTTACTAGTGATGGAACGATGATACCTCAAGGAGTGTATTGACACACTACACAAACTGTGTTGGCACTGTATTGATACTGTGTTGGTCACCCAATAGTCACCCCTGCAGTAGTTATCAAGGCATTGCAGGTAAAGAAATTCCTTGCGTGTATAAATACTAAACAGCGTTGGTATGTAAAATATAGCAACTTTAAGTTACAATTCATAGTTACAAATTTTAACTTATGTAGAAAATTTTTGTTCACTGTTAAATCATATGAAATAAAAGACACACAGTGATTGGTTGATGAATTTTTTTTTTGAGGAACAAAAGTTTTTGGCGTGTCTTTACTCCAAGGCGATTTCTCCTCTTTGACACCAGCTCCCCAGCCTCAGAAATTACGCTTTCACATGGTACAGATGACAATGGTGAACACAGAGTTTTAAGTGCAAGTTGATGCAGATGTGAATATGTTTTCTGTTTCCATTTCCAATATTTTAAAGGGTCTTGATTTCTGGGTTTCTGGGTGTCTTTGCTTCTGCCAGGTAGCGTTGGACTTCAATTTTGGAGGCAGCTGTTCCATTCGAGGTCTTCTGGGTCTCTGCAACCTCCATAGCAAGTGTTTTCCAGAGATTGTGCCCTAAAAAAAATAGTTAATCATTAGTTTACTATCACACGACACAGTGCCACAGAAATATACGAATAAACACCTGAACTGGTCATGTTGACCACTGCCTCATCCACTGCTTGCTTGTTAGGAACTGCAAGCCAAAAGGAAATATCTTGTCAAAAGCTTCACAAAAGGACTGTAATTTTTAGTACATAAAATACATAATCAAGTAGACATCAGACGACACGGTGGGTTAGCACTGTTGCCTCACACCAAGAGGGCTGGAGGTTCGATACCAGGCCTCGGGCCTGTCTGTTTGCATGAATATGAGAATTTCAACATACCTAGGGTACTCTCACAAGTATCTGACAATTCTTCATTGCCATGTCGAGCTCTATAATGCCTCAGCATTGATGAATTCCTCTAATTTATGTATGATAGCTCTGTGGAGCAGAGCCAACACTTCACCTACAATAACATAAAAAGTTAATTATTCTGAAAACAATTCAAACCTCTTCCCAGAACAGAGCAAAAACTAAGGTGGAACATTGCATTCACTTGTTAAAATAGACACCCTCATGATTTTGAGAACAGGATCTAGTCATTATGAGATAAAATGAAAAAGCAACTGTAAGGCTCTTTATCTGAGGATTATATCTATCACAGGTTCACTTGATAAAGTGAGTGCAATACGCCACCGTAAAAAATAGTATATAACAGTAAACAAAGCTCAAAGGAAAAAAAGATTTACATTGTCGTCACAAGATCAAAGTTATTCCACACTGGGGTAAACTTCTTAGAACGATCCATAATTACGCAAAACTCCATCCATCAAACCCATGACATGTTGATACAGTTAGTTTCCTTACTTACCAACGTCTCTTCATACGAAATTTTCAAGTTACGAAACGCCTCAACAGGAAAACATTGCCTCTCGTTATGAAAGAAATTTCAAGATACGAAAAGTAAAAATGCAGTGTGTGCTGCTACTGACAGCTCCGAGTTTTCTGAACGCAACATACTGTACTTATAGGTGCTCTGCCATTGGCTATTACCGAACATCTTCCTGGCATCCCATTGGCTAAGAGTGACCTCTACCGTATTTGTTTGTGTGTGCAGATAGATGTTTGTCTATGCAGCGTCCTGTCATTCGCCCCTCGGCCATATGGTGTTCCAATAGTTTTATGTAAATATGAATCACCCAGAAAAAGTGTTCACCAGTCTGGCGATCGCTCACTACGCTTGATGTTTGCCTTGGACATTTTCGAAGAATAATTGCAAGCCAACAAAAGCAAATGTCCTTGGATCTTTCCAAAACACCAGGCAAAAAACATTTCTGAGAGAGAACATGAACTAAAGAGGCCAAAAAACAGTAGTTAACGCGGTTAAGTTAAATGAACATCATTTTGATTCTTTATTCTTTGTTTTTCAAATTTTGCACAACTCTCATTTATTGTGCAGTAATCTAATTGTAACAAGTATTTGTTCCATATTTTGATGCATTTTTATGCTTTACAAAACATTTATGTCTGAATTTTGGGGGGCTTGTAACGGATTAGGGCATTGACATGTCACTCCTTTCAAAATTTTCCAGTTAAGAAATTTCTTCCGACCCAATTAATTTCGTAAGTCGAAGTACCACTGTATTTAAAAAGACTCATTTCCTACCTGCTTCTGGTGATGCTATGGTTGCAGACAGAGAACCGAACGCGGGATATAACCCAAACTTTTATCCATGAAATCAAAGTTGGGAGGATCTGAATCAAACCAACGGGGAACATTTCGACCAAAGTACATGCACCGCGCTGCCAATGAAAATTTTTATGTAGTACATACTGCCCGGAGGATGCTTATGTAGGCTACTCTGGATTCAAGACAAGGTACTCTGAAACTCAAAAAATGCACTGGTATTAAAACAATAACTAAATGTAGGAATACTGTAATAAAATCAGAGGTGGCATTAAAATGAGACAAAAGATGTCTGGAACACGACGCAACAATTAGATGACAGCAAAAGTCAGGAGATATTCTAAATCATACAATAGCTTTTTTTTTTTTTTTAAACATTCATGTCCTTACCGTTGTTATTGTCCATAACACAGGTGTCAAACTCAAGGCCCAGATCTGGCCCGCCACATCATTTTATGTGGCCCGTGAAGGCAAATCAAACATGTCAACTTCCATGATGCTTTGCAAAATCTCTACCTAAATTTTAAATTCTCAGAATGTAATAAGAGACATATTGTCAGCATTTTCTTGTACCAAACCCCTCATAACAGTAACTTAAACAGTAGTTAATAAACCATTATTATTGATTTTTTTATGTGATTTCAGTCACAACGGCCCTCCAAGGGAAACGGTAATTAAAATATGGCCCATGACAAAAATGAGTTTGACACCCCAGGTATACAATGTGTACGGTATTTGTGCTGTATACTTTTAACACGTTTTGGAATTTGTTTTGTAATCAATGTGTGCCTTGAGTGGCGAAGGGCTCATTCCCAAGAAAATTCCACGTGAGCGGTAATCTTCTCAAGTGGAACACTGCTGCCCATGTTACCAACAGGCTACCTCCCGTTACTTGTCAACAAGGGAACAAAGTGGTATGTAATAATCCTCTCCACCTCACCCCTCTACATGGACCACCCCTTATTGCAATACAACAAGCAGATTTTAGCAAACAGCAAAGTTCTGAAATTTGGAGACCTCTTCACAATTTTCTTTCTGGAAAATATTTTGTTGTTACCTTATTTCACTTTGTGAATGATATTTCCGAGAATGGGAAGTAATGCTGGACTCAATGTTTCAAATGACGATATACCTTATGGAGGAAAAAGTTCCTTTTCCCAACTGGAGCACAACATAGTGGCTGCATATCTTATAACTGCAGGTAATAAAGAACATCATGTTTATTTATTTAGGACTTTTGTTTTGCAATTGGGTAATATACATTCTTCATAATATGAGTATTCTCATTTTCTGTTCAGTAAAAATATCTTACTTCATATTTTTTAATATATACATTTTAACAGCACTTCAATTCAGTTTTCTTTCTTCAAACTTGTGTTAAGATTTCTGCTTCACACGATGTAAAACCAAAGTGAAGAAGAGCTATTCAATAATAGTAGTTAATTGAAAGTATGTTTGAATGTAACCGAATAAAATTTGAATAAGATGTCAATTTGTATTCTGAACAGCTCTCCAAATATAAGTCCACCCGCACCATTTTGCGATACAGCAACATGTAATTGAAAGTTGCCTTTCCACATTTGCAGAAAATCAAAGCAATATTGCCTTACTGAGAGTACGAGTGTCATACACATCGATTGTCAGAACCCCTCTGTTCATGAAAGACAAATAAACAAATACATCAATAAAAATTAAATAATAATAATTCATCCTCACAAGGATCACAGGGGGTGCTGGAGCCTATCCCACCTGTCTTTAGGCAGTAGGCAGGGGACACCCTGAACCGGTTGCCAGTCCATCGCAGGGCACACACAGACAAACAATCCGCACTCACACCTCGGGACAATTTCGAGTGTTCCATTAACCTGCCACGCATGTTTTTGGAATGTGGGAGGAAACCGGTGTACTTAAAGGAAACCCACGCAGGCAGGGGGAGAACATGCAAACTCCACACAGGAAGGCCGGAGACTGAATCGAACCCTGCACCTCTGCACTGTGAGGCTGACCCGCTAACCAGTCAACCACTGGGTCACCCAA